AGGATTCATAACATCTAAAACACAGTTTGCGTGACTTTACATAATTATCAAGAAAATGATCACGTTTACTTGGATCCTATACATTCAGATTTCATAAAACAAATTGTTGGTTTTACTAAAACTTTCCTTCAATTGTATTAGTTGAAAATTGATCGCTAATGTTGTTTGGAATTTTTGATCGTTAACCTAATTTGTCGATCGACCGCGGGACGTACGCGCCGTACTAGCTGTTATACAAGTACGCGGCTCGTAATTGACACGGGGCGCTTCAAGAGATTTCCTTGAGTCTGTACCTACGAGCGTTTGTTTCAACGGAACATAAAATTTACATGTACATAAGTTATTTGCGCCGGAGGTGCGTCGGCTCGTAAATCTCGCGACAAGGGGATTTCTGTTTGTGAAGTTTCTTTTTTATTTCCACTTTATCTGTGTAACGTAAAGGACTGTGAATACTCAGGCGCAACTCCAAACCCGCTCAACTTCAATAAATCAATTTGTGCACTTACCCGTACTTATAATGTTCTCAGAGAGTTCGGTACGTGTCGAGACCGGCTCTGAATATGTTACACTTTCATCGCATAAAGATGTGAATGTAATTCTATATTTTTATTACACTTACACAGAGATCTCGTAAAATACTTATTTTAACTTCTTTTCTTATACTTTTCAAACACATTTCGTGATTGCGATAATTTATTTTTCAACGTCAGTATGAATTACAAAAGCCTGAAACTGTCCGCAATACTTTATGACATTTTAAACAGTCGTTGTCAGTCCACCACATCCAATTTAAGCCTTTTAAGAATCACTTAAATGCAACAAAGCTTTTCCAGCCGAAATAAAATAAGCAGACGAAACGGTTTGTCCAGTTCGTCGAGTTCATTTTGCATCACAAAGTTAGATGTGTTTGTCGTTCTATTTTAAACGCGATAACGCCAACTTTCCAGTCCTCGAAATGTGAATACCTTGTTGCGAAAATGTGACTAACGGAAACTGTGTACAAGTAACTCGGCTGTCCTTCGGTGGCTCACGGAGCTCACACCGCGCGCTCCCTGCCTGCCACCCTACTGCTCGCTGCACATACTGCCGCGCCCGGCGCCGCTCGGCCCCCACTCTGATCTCTTTATTATTATAACAAACAACATTATTCACTTCTTACTACACTTTTTTTGTATTGTTATCGTTCGTAATACGCGTTACAAACACAAAGGAAAGTTGGCAACATACAAGCTAACGCCTGCAGTATTTGAATATACATGCACAGCAATATATCACAACTAATCCTTTCTGAGGTTGACATTTAGATTTATAGCAGACAAAATAATTTTCCAAGGAGCTGAATATATTAATAAATATTTTCTGTTATGCGTACTTAATTAATTTAATGAACACTTTTATGATTTTTATTTCAACTCACGGTTCTAGTTGACATAAAAGTTTTGCCCATATAATATTCTGATGTTTTCATTTAATAAATAAATATAAAAATGTATGCAATAAAATGAGTTCAAATAAACTATACTTTTGCTTCTACATGATTCTAATAAATTTCTGAACCAGATTGCGGTTAACAATGAGTCTTTACTGTATTTTCCACGAAAATATTGCTATCTGCCGTCGGTGACCATCGGATTTGTAATACTTTTGTATTTTTTTTTAATAGTAACTACCCATGGCTATAGCCTACAGGACAGTCTGACCAACGGCTTTACTTTCGTCATATATATTTATTTATACAAACATGTAATCATAACATATACATGTAAAACTATGTTTTTTAAGTTAAATTATCCATTTTAGAAAATTTAACCAAATAATATTATTGTAAATGGCTTCACCTAACTTCACCGACAGTTTGAAAAGTACCTAATTGAGCATTCATTAATAAATTAATTACTAGTGTATGTTGCAAACAGTAACACATATCAAACAAATACAGATAAATATTAATATTGTTATAGTGTATTTAATTTTCTAACTGAAATACGATTTACGTGTTAAATTAGATACGATGAGTAGTTTATGATACGATGAACATAATTATTTGTTCCGTGTATGTAGGTATCTCACAGGTAGAAGACGACCAGAGAAATCTGGATAGATTTTGAAAAGAAAGACAATAAGACATGCATGAATTAGAATGACGTCCGATAGGGGAGAATGGAAAAAGAAAAACATGTATTGTGCCAAAATATTTGTAAAAATACAGTAAGAAGAAGTTTAAAAAAAGCTGTGGTGGCTTCAATCAACACTTTCTTAACAGTTTGAAGCTATCAAGGGTAACTAAATAACTGAAAAACCAAATTGCATTAATGATTCCAATATAGTACAATACGGAGCTGCGAAGGACTAAACGGGTTGCCGGGGCTCCGGCTGAAAGTACAGGAGTAGGAACGGAGTGGTTTAAGTCAGTAAGAGTCTGACACTACCTGACTACATTGTGTCGAAACTCACCTGAGCGAGAGAATTCATTGGATGATTTTCCCCCCTCAGAAAAAAAAATAGTACAGTAACGCCCTTTTTTCAAAAACTTGGTTAAATCCGAATACGATTTAAATCATTTGAACCAGTTTCAAAAGAACGTGGGAACTATTTTAAACGTTATAAAATTATAGTTACAAAATAACATATTGCCTTATGCTTAGCTTCAAGATGCTTATGCTAGAAATATACTACGTAACATCACGTCTTTTATCCCCGAAGGGGTAGGCAGAGGTGTACATTATGCCACTGTACAATGTAACACCCTCTTTTCACTATTTATGTTTGGAGCGCCATGTAATAGAGGGTGAGCCTATTGCCATATACCGGGCACGATTCCAGACTCCGTGCTACTACTGCTACTACTGAGATTTTTTTAAAAACCCAGTAATACTTTGCCCAACCCGAGACCCCTTGCCCGGCAGTCGCACTTGGGACCACTCGGCCAAGGAGGCAAATATACTACGTGGAGCAAATTACTTGTAGAACTCATACAAGAACTTGCAATACAAGTAATGGAGGTAGTATTACAAGACCGGCAGACAAGACCATTCTACTAGTGAATTTAAATGTTCCTTACCAACCGCACTTCCAAACTTTCCATGGTTTAATTTATATGAAAATTTCTTTCATTACAACTTTTACACATGATCCATTTCAAATGTAAAACGAGGTGTTAATGCTTATTTAAACTTTGGTTCTTATATCATATAACTTGATATTACAATTTGTGCGTCCGAGCACAACATTATTAAGGCGAAGACTATAAACATAATTCGCACATTCACGCAAAATTATATCTTCGTGCTCTGAATAAAAATGATTGTGATAATGAAACGATAAACATGGCACAATATTTAAAGGAAAAATTTTGTTCCTGCAAATGTTAAATTAGCAGGAACAAGTAGGAAGGGAGAAAGTAAAGTTTCAGTTGAAATTAATGAAGATTACAAAATTCACGGCCATTGAGTTCGCCGCTTCGTCGAACCTTTGACTCTAAGTTGCTTGTTAGACTAAATTGAGAGAAATAATAGCACTCATTTGTTTGGTTTAAACGTTCCCAGTCGCAACCGACGGCGGCAGTTATTATTTCACCGCAATCCAAACGCCCAATAAAGTAATATCGTCCCCATTTATTAATTGTCACCAATAAAAAATGGTTTAGACTTGATTTATTTACTGTTTTGCATTCGGTTGCATTTTCTAAAATTATTCTATTTTATACTTTGAATTATCATTACGGAGTTATTATAAATTGTGTGCGTTACTGATTTAATGAACAAGATTGTAAAATATATATTTTCGAATGAATAAGACGAGAGAAAAATCTGCAAATTATTTGGAGTCTGAGTACTTATATATATTCATACTTCCTAGAGAAGTATTTATTTTTTGGTTATAAATTCTATTTATAATTTTTTGTTCTAAAAGAACAGTACCATAAGGAAAGACCACAAACTACTACTAGTAGAAATTGTGTGATTGTTTCATATTAAAATTGTATCTGTACTGTAATAATGAAAGTAATAATGCACTAATCAATACGAATACTAATGGGGAAAATAACATAAACTATTTAGTATCCAATTTTTAAGGAAAGTAATATAACTGATACAGTGCCGTAGTCAGAAATTGACATGTAACTAATAAGTTTTTTATACAAACATATCAGGAATGAAACTCCTGAGAAGTCTTCATAATTTATCTGTGTTTCATAATTTAAGTAGGTAAAACTGTAACTGTAAGATCGATAAACAATGCTAAAACATCGCTGTAACTGTTGATTAAAAATACGTTCTTGTATAAAATAAGTTCTTGGATTTTATAAATGATAAAGATAATTTCATTTTCGAAATACATAAAAATGAAGCCATATGTCGCACGTTTGGAACTCAAGTCGCACAATATTACAAAGTTAGATAATTGTGAAGCAACATAACTTTCCTAGAACTACTAATGAATACAATCTATTGGAAAACAAAAGTAAAGTAATTAAAAGTAGATTTTAGTTTTTTTTTTCTTAGTAGTGTATTTAGAAATACTCCTTTAGAGATTTAATTGACTATTAGCCGTCTTCAAGCAGTTAAGCTTCAGTTCAGTACAGTTCTTTCAACCCTAATTTAATAAACATAAGACTACCTAGTTTTATAGTTTTGAATGGACGATCCAGTCATTTTTCAAATTACATATCTATGTCACAAAAATATATGGACAGTTTTATCACATAAATTTTAAATAATGGTACAAATTCGGTCGCCCAATGTTTTGCATTATGTCATAATTCCAAAATCACAGTTTATAGGTAAATTCCAGGAAGCACAAAATTGCCAATCGCATACACCTTTGCGGCTTCCCTGTCATACTTTAAATAAAATCAATACCTAAAGCAAATGAGTCACTAAAATGTTTTACAGTACTTTCAATCGTAAATCTGCCCTAAAATAATGTTTCGATCACATTTTACGACGGCAAAGTCAAGAGCATGTAAAAGAAGTAAGAAAATGTGAAAAGATACTCACTTTCGTCCTTTATGGTCGGTGTAAACAATGTGGTTTCTGGCAGCGGGAGTCTGCCGACTCCGGCCCAGCGAGTGCGAGTCCATCATCCGCGGCCCATTCTCTGCGCGCCAGCAACACTATGGGCTGCCATGCAGAAACAAATCTGTGCTCTTAGCCTTGCCACACACAGCCGCGGACGTTCCCGAACTGTCTGAGTGTTCAGTTAGTGACCGCTTCGGTGAATTACTCCCCGGCCACGTTTAACAAGTTCGGATGGCCGGCTTGTTAGAGCTCGCTGCTCTCCACCGACATTGTATACACAGTTTCGACTTCTTAGCTGTGAAAGTTTCACCCGCTCTGTTGATTTTGTTTGTTAACATTGTCCTGTTCAAGAACTGTTCTAGATTTATCTCCTTTGTGTTTGTTCACTTTGTAAAATCAAGCGCAGCATGGACATTTCGTATTGTGTCGGTTTTCGTCCGTTATGGATTTATTGTTTAAACTTTGTTTACAGTTTTATCGTGTTAAATCGTTCATCTGAAACGAAAGTTCAGTTGTGAAACTACATTTTTTTCTTCGCGAGTTATTTTACTGAGACTTAGCACATTTATATTTTACACAAGTCTTCTTACAGTACCAAGTTGTAGTACTAAATAACACTAAGTAATGACTGTTCAGTGGTACCGAGTAGGGTATAATTAGAGGTACATAAGCTATATATCAAGACGCATGTTCACAGTCTTGTAGAGGCTTATATAACCATTTCCTCGGAAGTATACTGGAGGACAATATACCTGTATACAAGGGGATATATAAAACCGTTTACATAAGCACTTATTTATCTTCTACGGGTAGGCGGAGCTTGGGATCGAGGCGGGCTTATTTGGAATCGACAAGGAGGTGGAGTGGAGGCATCTACTTGTTTATCAATACCTTCTACGCTTAGTTGTACACTGCTGACAATCATAAAAATTAATAAACATGTCATAATGTACCAAAAAACCATGTTTCGTCTTTAATTAAGTCCCCAACAGTGACTTATAAATTATGTGATAATTAAGAATCTCTAACTAATAAAAGTGGATATTTTTAGAAGCAAATATTTCCTAAAGGTTAAATAAAATGTTTTCTCGTTTCATAAATTATATTTCGCAAGACAGTGTACAAATGGGCTTTAATTAACTGGGGAATGTCGGCGAAACAGCAAATATGCCAGGATCGGGCGAGCGCCCCGCGCGCCGCCGCCGCTCGGCCACGCTAACTACGATTTACATTCCCTCTTATTTATTTACAAGATACAGCAACACAATTTAATTTAATTTACAGACTGGGGTAATTTTATTTCGCAAACCGACTAACTAAACCGACGTTAATCAATATGAAAATATTCCTAGTAGAACCTATTACGAAAACTGTCCATTAAACCAATTTTCAAACAGTATAATTACTGTATTGGTTAAATAAAGGACCATACAATATTCAGAAAATTAATTTTGTAATTCCAAAGAATTTATCAATACTCACTTCTATTATTCGCCAACAATATACATTGGCCGCAGCCGTGTAATTATAAAAATTTCACGTTATTATTTATAGCTTTTGAAAATTATTTTAAAACAATAGAAATATTTTGTAATAGGATTTGTAAAATTATACAGCTGCATTAATTTATTAAACCACTCATACAGTTTAGAATACGATGCAATCTACATTCTCCCGCGTTACGAACTAAGTTACGCTCGCGGCGCGGATCCGGACAGAGTGTTCCGTGCACTCACCTCCAAGGCTCACAGCCGACTGAGCTCTGTACTCTTTACTCCGAAACGTTATCCTTCCAACTCAGACCAATTAGTAAGAAATATCAACCCTAGTGCCCATAAAATAAAGTCCAATTTCTCTTTCACATCATCCCCAAAAACCGTTCTCGACGATGGAGTGAGAATTCGAGAGAATACGTCACGAAAATCTAATTCTTCGTACGCGAACATAATGACGGCTTTAGAACTGAAGATGACGGAGCCTCAAAATTTTCGTGAAATGACGAGCCTGCGGAGTAGGGGCCTCTATGTTTAAGTTCGGAGGGTTCATATTCCAGGTAATGTGGGCTCGAAGAGGCGGTCGTAAGGTTTCGAGGGGTGGCGCGTAAAACAGGCGCATGCGTAAATCTCTTGAATTATTTCTCAAACTGTGAACTAAGTTGAACTGATTAGTGTTTAAGCAGCAAGTAAAAATATTATCAACAGATTGAACTGATCAATTATGTATAAGACTCATGACGTGAGCGAGACAATTCCATTTTCTGAGTAAATTGCTGTCTTTCGAAAAGTGTTGTTCTATTTTCATTCTGTTATGACTTTCAGCGACTGATTTTTTATTCAATAATAGAAACTTCTTCGGCCACAAATATATTGTATTGATTTAGCTGACAAACTTGTTTAAACTATGACACCTATGTTCTTTGATTTTGTTAACACATAAACATTTATTTAAGTCTTTCTTTTTGCTTCAACTTTATTAAAAATTAATGAATAGCGATTGACATACTAAATGTAATATTAATGAGAACGCACCGTAAAACTATTCATCAAATAATGCCAATTTCTCTGTTAACAAAATAATTATCAACATTTATTATTTAAACACAAAACAAAATTGATAACAGATTTTTGTCATGACAACAAATTATTTCAACTGTGTAACAATGCAATAATTTAGGTATATTACTATCCTGAATACAATTCCAAACAATTACTTTAAAAGCTAATAAGTTGAAAGGGATTTTTTGTGAACGTTATATATTATGATTATATTATATTTGATGACTGGTCAACCGGCTGCCGCGCAACGTGTCGCGGGTCGATTCTCGCACGGAACAACTCTGTGTAATCCACAAATTGTTGTTTCGGGTCTGGGTGTCATGTGTATGTGAACTATTATGTTTGTAAACGCACCCATGACACAGGAGAAAACCCTAGTATAGGGCAACTTTTAAAAAAATATCAATATCAACTACTAGTCGTCCATTACATTAATTTGTGTAATCGGTTTAACTAACTTGGACCGATTTTTCAATCATCAGTTAATTCTTTACTGTGGAATAAAATTGACAGTTGACAGTTTTTAGTGAGGAATAATTGTCAAATTTTGAATGTTATTCCTCTGTTCAAATTTAAGTGAGCATTGAAAAATTAGCCCTTAAAAATCTAAACGGAGGAAAATTTCTCGATGTCTCAGAAATTAATTCCAGATTGTAGCAATTAAATAATTATCGATTATTCAATACTATCTAGTCGGAAAGAAAAGATCGTTCGGTCAATGATGTATTGTTAGTACCTAATAATATTTTTTTAAAGTTTTGAAGCTCTTGCGCATGTTAAGAGTTGCTCACACTCACATTCATGACACTATCGATACGATTTTTTATCAGGTGTTTGGAAGGTGAAGTTGCTTCGCAGTAATAGCTGGAAAAGAGATTGTAAAAAGGTAAGAAAAAGAGATTTGTCTCTTTTCCTTTACTTTTTTAATAGATTATGATCGTCGTTTGGTCACCTACTCACCCGATTAAGCGATGATGTGGCCAACGATAGATGGATTCACTAATTTAGCCAAATATTATATTTAATAAATCTTTCTACCGTTACTTTTGCCGACAAACAAGTGCAATAAAAATCAATAGCAATCTATAATTTTCTCTTTACGTACATACATCTCAGATTTACCTAGTTGACGGAGAATATTTGACATGAGACGAATTTACCAATGTTGGTTTAAGTTAAGTATGTCTCACGAAAGCTTTAATATAAATATTGTTTTAAGTTTCAAAACTTTTTGTAATTGCCTTAGGTGTGCAACATGTTATCCGTGTCAATCTTAACGCCATAAATATAAATATATTTTGCTAAAATAAACCCTATAAAAGTCACCCAATTGTGTAAAAAAGCAGACGAAGAAAAGAAAACAGCACTCGATCAAAATAACCAAACATAATAAAAAGGTAATTAGATGACATAGCTAAGAGGAAAGCACGTCAATCAGAGTAGGTAGATCAGTAATAACAGATAATGAACAAGCACGACATCGACACGGCTATTAATAAAACGTGAGGGGTAAAATATTGGCGCGGTGCGCGGTGTCCGCGGCCGAGTGGCGGACGCGTTCCGTGTAACTCTCAATATGAGCTTTGTTACCGCTTTGTGCCGCCATTTCTTGTGTCACTGCATTGAATATATCGGGTGCTTTCCTTTGTGCACGGAATATTGCTCGTCTTTTGTCGAAATGAACGTTACCTTCCCAAGAGTTGTTTCAGCAAAGAATTTCGCGATTGCAAAGTAATATTTCCCCTTAAGAATTTCGATGTGTTTCTTTCATGTCGGAGATGACTTTACTTCAGATTATATTGTGTTGGGAAATGTGGTTTCGAGTTTGATTTTCAATATCAACGATTCTTTTACGAGTTGTTTGTGAACGTTCTTGTGGAACTATCCTCATTTGTGTTTTTGTTTGATCTCAATGTTTATTTTACGTAACCAATAAATTAGTTTGTAATTGAGATAGCAAGAATCCCGTGTAGATAAATAAAATAATAATTATAGAGTAAATCCTTTGTCCCAGTAATTGCATTGGCTTTGCCATTTCAAGTCCAATAGCCATCTGACCACCAATTAGAGTGGGATTAGCGACGGTGGGAGATCGCCCGTGTAATATACTCTTGAGATTGCTTGTTAATTATTTCACTAAGTTCTTTCTCACTATACTTATGTGTGTAGTTTATTTAGTGGAATATTTGTTTGATATTTCGAATCTAACTTACTAGCACTTTACAATATTTACAAAATAAACAGTTAAGATTTGCTGTTCTGAAGTTATTACTACGTGACTAATATTTTATTTTTGACATAACTTTTAATCTGTCCCGGTTAGTATACTTAAACATAAAAAAGTCTAATTAGTTTTTATTTCTAATTTAGTGCGTCGAATTTAGATGAAACTGGAATAGAGTTTCAAATTTCTAATAGCCTATTTTCCCTAACCAAAAGCCCCAAAACTACTAGCGTCATGCGACCACCAATTACTGAAAACACTAAACAATACTCAATCCCTAAAACTA